CCCATGCACGACGCGGGACCGCCCCGACTGCCGCAGCCCGCCGCTCGTCGACCCCGCGTCCGCCCGCGCCGCCCACGTTCCCCTGCGCGGCGTCGCGCTGCTGAGCCTCTCCGCCGACCAGCAGCTGCTCGCCGCCGCGGCCGGCCGCGCGGTGCACCTCTTCTCGCTGTCCCAGCTCGCGCGCGGCGGCGCCAGCGGCGGCGGCGGCGGCGGCGGCGCGGTGGCGCCGCTGCACACCCTGGATCTAGGCTCGGACGTCCTCGAGTTTGCCTGGTGCCCCAGCGGCGCCGCGGAGGACCTCCCTGCTTTCCTCGCGCTCACCGCCGACCGGCAGCTGCTGCACGGCGGCGTCGGCAGCGGCACCGCGGTGCTGGCCGAGCGCGTGGACGCCTTCTCTTGGTCCCCGGACGGCGCACACGTGGCGTACTCCAGTGGGAAGCTTCTGGTGGTGACGGCGCCCGATTGGCGGGACACGGCGTTCAGGGTCACGGTGGACGTCGACGGCGCACGTGAGCGTGATGGGCCGCGCGACCCGGGGCGGGGGGGCGCGGGGCCTGCGGCTGCGCTGGGGGTGGCTGTCGGTGCCTCGAGGCAGCGCCCGCGGGTTGGAATTCGTGGCTGTGGGGAGGGCGGGCATGCGCCGGCAGCTGCGGTGGCTGCCGAGGTCGGCAGTGGAATACACCGCCCCCAGGCAGCAAGTGAGGACGCCGGCCGGCCCCACCGCGCCCGCCCACCACCTACATGAACGCCCCGCGCCTCTCGTCCCCAAACGCCCGACCCGCTCTCCCAACACCCACCGCCGCGCTGCCGGCCCTCCGCGCAGCCCCCGGCGACGCCGTGCTCGAGTCCCTCCGCTGGCTCTCGCCGCGCGCCATCATCGCCGGCATGCTGGCCGTCGAGGCTGACGAGGACGCTGACGAGGACGGCGGCGGCGGCGGCGGGCAGCGGGAGGAGGAGGACGTTTTTATCCTGGGGGTCACATGGGAGGGGTGGGACGGCACCGCCGGCGGCGCGCCGGAGGGCGTGGCGGTGGCGGACCTGGGGCTTTACGTGATGGGGGTGAGCCCCGGGGGTGGGCGAGGGGTGGAAGAGAGGTGGGACGGCTGGTGTTTTTAGGGATGCATGTGGGGGCAGCAACTCTGCTGGCGTGCCTGTTGTGCAGGGCCGCAGGTGGGGGCACGGCGGCGCCGTGCGCAGGCGAGCAGCGCTGGGGCCTGCGGAGGGCGCACAGCCACGCAGCGCAGGTGGCGGCTGGCTGCTGGCGGCTGCGGCTGGCACGAGGCGTTGCAACACTCCAGCAACAGTTTCCTGAGTGTTTGGTGACGCCGCACCGTCTTGTCCCTCCTCGGCAACCCTGGCGCCCGCCCGCAGCACGAGGAGGAGTTTGTGGGCTGCGGCCACGGCGGGTGGCCCTACCTGAAGGCAGCGTTCGTGCGGGAGTGGCAACTCGGGGTCTACGCCCATCGCAAGGTGCGGGCCAGCGGACCCTGCAACCCCCGCCCCCCCACCCCCCTGAAAGTCCGGCGCGCACCCGCTTCTCCCGGCTGTGCTGCATGCCTTGGTTGCCTGCTGACGGCGTCAGTGCGGGGTGGTGTCCATGCGTACGCGGGCGCACACATGCTCACACTTGAACACACACACACACACACACACACACACACGCGCGCGCGCGCGCGCATGAACGCATGAACGCATCCACGCGTGCATGCACGCACTGCTTGGCTGGTGCCCATCACCTCAACACGGTCAGCTGTTTCCCCCCATGTTGCTCGAGTTGACATTAGCATACCTTCTGGCTGCAACCCTGCCGCCATCCCGATCATCTCATTTGGCCCAAGCGTGAACCCTCCACAACCTACAAGAGCGGACGGCGAGTTTGTTGCAGTGGCCGTGCCGCCCCCCTCCCCCTTTATGCACGCGACCTCATTGCACCCCATACGCCCCCAACCACGAAACCCGCAGCCTGTGCGCAACCCTCTGCCCACCCAACCCATGCCCCGCTCTCCCCCCACCCCCACCCCCTGCAAAGGGGACCGATGAGTATGTAATGCTGGCCGGGCTTGGCGAGGGAAGCTTCCAGGGCGAGGGGGGCCGCGCCGCTGACCTGGCGCAGACCGACATGGCGTTCAAGGCGGCCGTGCCGCTGCTGCCGGGGGACGAGGCGAACTTTGTGACGGGCCTCGCCATCGATTACAGCAACACGGTGCGCCGGGCGGGCGCGGCCGGGTCTCTGCGCCGCCGCCGCCGCTGCTTGTGCTTGCGCCCGTGCCTGCAGCCCCGCGCCGCCGCTGCCGCCGCCGCGCGCCACCGGCGTCGCCGCGGGCGCCGCGCGCCAGCGGCCGCGCCGGGCCTGGCACGGGGAAAGGCCTTGCAGGCCCTGGGGGGAGGGCTGCGCGCTGTGCGCCGGGCCCCCTTTCCAACATTGCGTACAATGTGTCGATATCACAACCCTACAAACAACCAATAGGACACGTTGGAGCACCCGCGGGACCCCGAGAAGAACCTGCCAGACGTCCCTGGAAGCTGCGTGCTGCTGCTAGCCACAATCGACGGCGCGCTGCGCCTGTACCGCCTGGCCAACTTCCAGAAGCGGGACGGCCTTGCGCGCGCCCCGGAGCCGCTGCCGGTCGGCGCTGCGCCGTGGGTCGCGCAGGCGGTCGCGGCGGCCAAGCGGGGCGCGGCGGAAGAGCAGGAGGTGTGCATTTGTGTGTTTTGAGGGGGGGACTGGGGTAGGATTTATGTGGCTGCACGGGTTGCGTGTGCGGGACGAGCCGTTTTTGGGAGGGGGCGCGTGCGCCAGCGCAGTGCTGCCATGAAGGTGTCTGCCCCGGGCGCCGCGGCTGCTCCGCCGTCCCTCTGCGCCGGAGGAGCGGCGCGCGGCTCGCAGCTTGCGGCGTCTCTTCCAGAGCCTCGCGCGCCGCCGGCGCTGCCGCTGCATTGCACCCATCCAATTCTCATCCGCAGGAGTCTGAAAACTCGGTGTCCAGTCCATCGCCCCCGTTTGCAGCGCTCGCCGCAAAGCAGCCCGCCGCCGCAG